AATAGAATTATTAGAGTTTCTTAAAGAGTTTACATACACATCAAAATCTTTCCTGAAAATAAAAAAGTAGGGAGTTTTCTTTGAAAATGTACACTTATGAATGTAAATTTTTGCAAGTTATAGCAATAGATTAATAATAAATTTACAGTGAGAAGGGTTTAAATTCAAAGAGTAACCAAAAAACACAATTTTTGGGGTTAAACAAAAGTTTGGATATAAATATTTTTTAACAAAATTGGAAAAGTCAACCCAGAACACTTTAGAATAAGCACAGTCCCAAAATAAATGATTGATTGTTTCTTCAGACTGAAGGCAAAAGGAGCAATTGGGGGAAATACTATTGTTAAATTTAGCAAGTTTGTAATTTACCGGATAACAATTATGGATAATTTTGATAGAGACTTCAACAACTTTATTAGATAAGAAGAATTTTTGTCGAAGAAGCCAAAACTCTTCCCATTCTATATCACTAAATATGTTATTCCAAAAACTCACACAAGCAGGTAAAGAAATCTGAGATCTATTAATAATTGAACGGATGTCTTTGTTTGACATGGCATTGAGAAGACTTTGGTCAACAAATAAGTTAGTGTTATCAAAAAGAGGAGAGTCTAACGAACCTTTAGGGCCAGATTTTACTAAAGGTATAATACAAGAGGGAATTGCACCAAACACAATGGCATATTCTCTTGGGGGGACTGGAAAAGAAAATTCTTGCATAAATTGTTCATAAGTAAAAAGGACACCACGATCATCTAAAAGTTGACTGACTAAAAGTATATTTTTATCAAACCAATTGTGAAAAAAAAGAGATTTATTTTTATATCTAATATTTTTATTATTCCAAATAAAGTAGCTATGTGGTGAAAAATTATAATTAACATCACGGTTGTCTGGACCAATAAGCATTAAGCTGTGTCGTCAGTCAGTCATTTCCCATCATGCTTTTGATCAGCACAGTCGGTGGAGAGCAACTGCGCACGACTGAACAATCCGACACAGCCGCCTCGCCGTCGCGAGAGTTTTTTGACACACGTCAGCATGACATCAGAGCAAGTCGGACATAACTCGGACACTTTTCTAACCGGCATGCATCTCGCGGTCATCGGCTCTGCGCAGATTTTGCTCATCTCAAACAAGCCTTATATGGTAAGGCACATAACATATCCGTCACACGCTTGAGGAATTCGGCCAATCACAACGCACTGGATAGCTGGCCAATCAGAGCACACCTCGCTTTTTCAGAACGATGAGCTTTGTAAAAATCGACGCGTTTCAGAAAGGCGGGGCATAGAGGAGAAACAATAATTTACAGTATGTGGAAAATAATGTGTTTTTTTAACCTTAAACCGCATAAACACATTTCATTACACCAAATACACAAAATAATGTTCTTTTTAGCAACATCATATGACCCCTTTAAAAACATATAGCTATTAAAAAAAGAAATCCATGATCTTATCATACAAATACCTTAAAAACAATAGATTATACATGAATAGACTTTATAGCTCTCCTGTTATTACAAAGCTAAATAACAGGTACATAGTTTTATATTTCTTTGAAAGCTAGGACATATGGTATTTTGTGGAAAAATGTACATATGTGTATTTAAAATTAAATTAATAGAATTTGGAAGATTAATTCAAAATGCCTCATTTTTAATATGGTTATGATATTTTAAAGAAAGATAACATTTTTAAAAAACAAATCAAAAGGCAAAATAATTTTGTCAACTATTTTGTCAACTATAAACACAGACATATCCTTCCGTCTTTTCAGAGCTACAATGTGGAAAAAGATGGTGCAAACTGTGTAGTTCCCATTTTCAAAGAACAAAAAGAGCAGGTCAAATCAATGTCCTTTTAAATTTATAAAGAAAGCATTTAACAGGATAACATGAATGTATTATCTTAATATTATGCACATTTATTTTCATTTGTAACAACATTTAATTAAAAAAAATAATAATAACCAAACATTCTCCCAGTTGAGATCACCAACAAACTTGGTCCAGTAAATAGTAGCCTATATGATTTGGTGGTTGTCTCATTTTGAAAGTAAAAGTAAGTCAGGTTAATAAGTTACATCTCTATACAGAGAAACAGCACCAGAATGAATGGCACAAAATAGAAGAGAATTGTATTAGGGATCACAGAAAATTCTAAATTATTCATCATATGGTATAATTTAACAACTTAAATATTTCTGTGCCAACAAAGTATGATGATGAAAGGCAGAGAGTTTCACAGGTATTTTATCTGTTAGTCACAAGGCCACACCAAGCAGGTTAAAGATAAAATCAGAAATAAAGTTCCACTTTTCATTAATTTTTCATTAATTATTTTAATCAATACATTTTAAAGTATTCATCAGAGTGAAAAAAAAAAAAAGGCGAACTATTTTATACGAGTTAATGACCACAGATTTATGAATATAATATACACATTTTTCCATAAATTAAATTATTGGTCAATAACTGACAATATTTTTATCTAGATGTATGCAAGATGCAGCATAGTGTCGGTGTTGAAATGCCATCAGCTTTGGTCAGAAGTGCATGACCTCTGGACAGGGTGTTTTTTTCATGATCACCTCTCTAAAAATGTCCTTTTGAATCCCCAAACCCTTGTCTTTTAGATAGGCAGAGTTTTTTTGCAGTCTTCCACACAGCATCAGTAATAAATACTATCCAATGGAAATTCTTTTGCCAGTGTGTCCATAGAAGGTTGCTGAGCTACATGAGGAGTAAAAAAAACTTAATTTCTTGACTGAAATGGCCAATGGAATTGCCACATAGCTGAAATAATTTTAACGTTGACAATTTTATCAATGTTGGAAAATTCCTGCTTATGATCAGTCTAAAGATGATCAGAATTGGCTATCTATACTGCAGTTCAGAATATTATATTCCCATTGGAAGTTTAGTCAACATTTAAGAAATGTAACTGTTTTTCTGCGCAGACCTCTAGGAAATATATAATTCAGGCTTGTACAGATGGAAAAGCAGGTTGTGGATGGGTTGAGGGAGGTCTTCCAGTCAGGCAGATCCAGACCCCTGCAGTACAGAAAACAGCAGCTCAGAGCCCTGCACCGCCTCATCACTGAACGCCAAGCAGACATCGAACAAGCTCTAAAGCAAGACCTCAACAAGGTACGACAGCCATTTTGACAGATCAGTGTTTCCTTAAAAGCTATAAAATATTAATTCAGTGGCAACACTGAATGTTTTTATTGTCATTCAATGTTACTGAATGCTAAATCTTTATTGTCACTGTCATCAAACAGAATACGTATAACACTTCACTCTTTGAGCTGATCAGCATCGAGAATGACATCAAATTGGCGGAAAGTGACATGGCGGACTGGGCAGCTCCTCAGCCTGTGAAGAAGAATCTCAACAGCGCGCTTGACGATGTTTACATAAAGCCTGAACCTTTGGGTGTTGTGCTGATAATTGGAACCTGGAACTACCCTTGGGCCATGATCCTGCAGCCCCTGGTTGGAGCTATTGCAGCTGGTAGTAGGATTTTTGTAACTAATTACAGCCAACATAAAAAGTTGTGTTCAGCCGTGCTACTTCCACAATGTAAAGCATTTACAAACAGAAGAAAATGTTGGGCGGGACTTGATTTTATCTATTGGGAATAAGTTGGATTTTAAAATGTTTATATGTACAGTAGGAGGTGATGAAAGTTGATAAAGTTTAATTATGACAACTCTCGAAATACATTTTAGTAATAAGAATTGTAGGAAGGATTGATCTTGTTGGACAAGATCTGCTCAGCTGGTGTTGCTGGCATGAGTGAAGCTTGCTCAGAATTACAGGAACTAGGATACAAGGTAAGGTAAGCAGATCTAGACGTGGTACTTGGGAGGAGGAACACTAAAGCAAATTCTAATGCTGCACAGTACTGAGCTGGATGAGGTTAGGATGGAAATTAATAAGGTTGTGTAGATAGGAATGAGAGATCAGTTGACCCTTCGCAGGGAGTTTGACAGGTGATCTGACCAATCATATCGCCAAATCTGCCATTTTTTGTCCAACAAACAAACCAAACAGGAGAGTAGATTAACGTTGAAAAATGGTGTGTGTATTGACGTCTTTCCGCGGTTGAAACAAGATACCTTCGGATGTTCATTCATGTTTATTTCATGCTATAGCTAGTAAAGAGGAAGAGATGATTGATTCAAATGCCGCTTGAACTCAGGTGCTGCAGCGATCTGTCACGACAAATGAAAGAACCACAAAACTGTATTTATTGTTTGAATTTCTTAAAAAATGACAAAATTTGAAAGCTGAGACTTTGTTTCATACCAGAAGTAACCTGCTCTGTCTTGTCTGTTGGCACATTGTCAGTTTTCTCTTTGCTCTGCAATGTATTTTTCACTGCGTGAGAACCTGATGTGTGGTGTGAGTGCCATGGCTTGTCGGACATAGCAACAGTAACAAAGGGGGTAGGCATGTCACGATAACAACTTTTTGTCCAGAAATTAAAATTGATCATTTACTCCCCTCTATGTTGCTCCAAACCTGTTTGTTTTTCTTATTCTGTGCAAAACAAAAGAAGATATTTTGAAAAAATGTCCCAGTGTTGATTTTGTCTATGCAATGTAAATCAATGGGATCCAATATTATTTTGGACCCCATTGACTTTAATTGAATGAAAAAAAAATCCACATGAATCTCTTCATGAGAGTGAGTAAATGATGACAGAATTTTCTTTTTTAAGTCTCTTTAAACAATTTAAAGCTTTGGGAAGCATTATCAGCTGAAATAACAGTTTTCCAAATGTTTTTATATCAGACGAATAACCTGGGGAAAGTTTGCAAATTGTGGCCAGACATGCATTGCACCTGACTACATTCTGTGTGAGCCAAACATCCAGGACAGGATAGTTGAAGAGATTCAAAAAACACTACTGGTGTGTACCTTTATTATTATTATTATTATTAAATTGTAGTCGATGCTCACATTCCTAGTTAAGACATGTTAACTAATTTCAGGAGTTCTACCAAAAGGATCCTAAAAGCTCTCCAGACTATTGCAGAATCATTAACACACGTCACTTTGACAGAGTATTGGCTCTAATGAATGAATGCACTATTGCTCTTGGAGGAGAGAGTGATCGCTCACAATATTACATAGGTAAGGACAACTTTTATTGTCAATAATAATGGCACAAATTTTATCAGTTGAGTTTAGTAAATCAAAAACATGCATTTTTCTTCCCCACCAGCTCCTACAGTTTTGAGGGATGTTTTACCCCATTTCAAAATCATGCAAGAAGAAATCTTTGGACCACTGCTGCCCATCGTCACTGTTAATGGCTTGAGTGAGGCCATACATTTTATCAATGCAAGAGAAAAGCCATTGGCGCTCTATGTCTTTTCCTCTGATAAAACGGTATTCTTTTTATTGCTAATGATTTTTGGAAGGCAGAGTCAGTTTCAATGTCCAAGTGAACTTTTTTCTTTTTTCTTTTTAGGTGATTAAGCGAATGTTAGCTGAAACCACCAGTGGAGGAGTGACTGTTAATGATGTCTTGATGCATTACACTGTCGATACCTTACCTTTTGGAGGTGTAGGTAAGCCAACCAATAATATATAAAGACACGTAATGGTAAAGATGAATTTGCACTGTTTCAACTATTAAATTAGAAACTATTATATAAATATAATTAGAAATCACTTATTATTAGGATAAATTAGGATGTTGTAATAATGCTATATACATAAAAAGTAATGTGATATAAAATGTAATATATCATATTTTTTAATTTTAATATGTATTAAACTATATATATATTAGAATATCTAGATCTTAAACAAATACATTGAATTATACATTATACCTATCAGTTTTTTCTCACTCTTTTTAAGGAAACAGTGGAATGGGCAGATATCATGGGAGGCACACGTTCGACCAGCTGAGTCACCATCGTGCCTGTCTCATCAAGTCTTTTGCTATGGAGAGTTTGAATGACGCCCGTTACCCTCCACTAACAGCAGCCCGACTGCGCAAGGCCAAGTTTTTCATGCAGCATCGCTTGTGCAGCTGTAATGGCATGTGTGTGTGGGCCGCTATCACAACTATATTGGCAATTGGTCTTCTTGTTGCCTTAATAGTTGTGCTGATAAAGGTAAAATATTTTACAGCTTTATCATGGCATTGTCGAATTCTTGATTCTGATATGTTAACACACTTCCAAGGGAAGTTGATTCGTGTTTGTATTACATTACATTGGCATTCCTAAGCAAGATACTTAATCAGGGGAGGTTATTACACCCAAGATCATTTTAGGGAAGAAAACCTTAAAAATGTTTTTAGGAAAAACACACGTTCCTATGGAAACAGACCATATAACAATATTGAAAATGTAATGGACATCCAAGGTGAAATTCAATGCATTAACACTTTAGTGTGTTTCCGAAGTAATGTTCCATAGTCATTTTTCCATATTTATGCATTTTATGTCATGGTTTTATACAATTTGTTCAGAAATAGCATGTGATTGAACTTCCTGTCATGGTTTGTCTATTTGGTTAATGAGTATTTTCCAACAGACTGTCGTTTGGATCAAGCTTTGTTTAATTACTGAAGACTTTCCATTCCTGTAACAATGCATGATTGTTCATAATCAGTGTTCCTTCCCACTTCCACAGGATACTCCAGTTTGAAGCAACAGATCCCTCTGCCTGCACTGCTGCTCAAGTTTGTCACTCTTTAGAACAATTTTAATCTCATATGGAATACTTGAATCATATGTTGGTACAAATATTGAATATTTGTATCAATCTGATATAAAACAGTGTTTCATGTACATTTTCTTTTCAAATTTCGATAATTATTTTTCAGTAAACTAGAAACAGTATATTTTAATCTTCTAAATACAATTAATAAGGCGTGTTTGTATGGGCTTTTCTACTCCTGTAGAGAATTTGAGCTGTTGAACTGCTGAATTGTGCAGAATCTTCACATTTAGATCTTCTAAATGGACAAGTTACCATCATTTCTGTGATGTAGCAGCACAATGCAAGCATTGTTCTCCATTGTTCCGTTGTTTTCCAGCTTATCTTCTTTATGTGGTGGACTTTATGGAGAGCTTTAGCACATGAGCTTTCATCTACATTTATGTTGACAAATGTACTTTAAAGGCAATTTTCTCAATATTTAGATTTTTTTGCACCCTCAGATTCCAGATTTTCAAATAGTTGTATCTCGGCCAAATATTGTCCGATCCTAACAAACCATACATCAATGGAAAGCTTATTTATTCAGCTTTCAGATGAAGTATATATGACCCTTATGACTGGTTTTGTGGTCCAGGGTCACAAATGTTTACTAATTTAAATGACGTCAACAAATAATGCTTATTAGCACCTTAACAAAAATGTTGATCAAATGTTGATTCAGTGATGTTTTGCTTTATTATGCTTTATTATGCTAAATGCTTTATTATAGTCTTGGAACAAATTTAATAAGCTTTCATATGATTTAAATGTAAAGACAAAGAATGCCCCTGTAGGGAATTCACTTTTGTTGTTGTTGTTGTTGTTGTTGTTATCTATCATTTGATATAATGTTAGTCCTAATCTAGTCTAAAACAATGATTATCAAATCAACTATAATATTAGACAACAGAGATCTCTGTATAATGTAAAATAGAGATTGTCCAATAATTTCAAATATATTCTATCAGAAAATTTAATGTTAGATCTTGTGGATTTGTTATCTATTTTTGTATTTCATCTTGATTTAATTTTATAGGTAACAGTTTCAGTATTGTTGTTGAGATTACAATAGCCTGATACATTTTGATCCCGTTTTAAATTCATATCTTCAACTGCCCTCAATATCCAGCAGATGGCGCTCTCTTATAATTTAACATCTCTTATAAAACCTGGATGTCTGCATCTTCATCAGTAAGATGTTTGGCTTAATTAAATCAACAAAATAAAACTGCTATTATAAGTGATTATTAGTACTACTGCTGCTCAACACCTAATACCCTAAATATAATCACAATGATCCTGTTCGCTGTGGTGAAATGTCAAACACTCTTCCTCAACCAATAAAGTTGACTACACTTTCTATGAAATGAGTTATTTTCTTCTTTGAAGGAATGAGCTAAAACTAGTTTAATTTAATTGTATTCATTGTATTATTATTTTAACACAATATTGGGTTTAGTGTGACATTCCTCCCCAGGCGTCTGTCTGTCAAAAAGCCAACACATATTCCTCCATGTGTCCGTTTTTTTTGCTTTCAGCTTTACATTTGCTGTTACACAATCTATCTGACTTAAAGCTAGTACATATTTTATTTACATAGCTGACAGCAAATATATACATCTATTGTAGCTTGTCAAGCTCAATACATTAGTCAGTCAAAATGCTGAAATACGATGATAATTTCTCCGAACTGGCAGAAACGAGTATTTCTCAGTTTAGGAATGTAAAGATTAACAAAACGCCACTGAAATGATAATAGCTTGACAGTAGGGTTTACAGTATTTAGCAGGGTTCACCACATTCCATGATAGGTTCCATGCATTACTGCCTGAAGGGGCGTTCACACAGACAGCCATTTAATTGTTAGAGGTCATCAACTCGCTGTAATGTTGCTAGAATGCATTCCTGCCTGACTGCTGGATTCAGCAGTGATATGTGTGCATTCTCATTGGGTGTCACAGAATCTCATTACTGCACATTCACATAAACTTCAACTCTGTTCAGCTTGCATCACTAAAGGTTTTAAGCAGCTTGAATATGAAGGCCCTGTTCATTCAACTTTCCATTTATCCTGGGAAAAAATGTATAATGGTTTCCACTGTTTTCAACTATTAATGTTTCAGATGTTTCACATTTTAAATATGTTAAAATAGAAAACAGTTATTTTAAATTGTAATATTTCAGATTATTGCCGTTTTTACTGTATTTTTGATCAAATAGATGCAGCCTTGGTGAGCAGAAGAGGCTTCTTTAAAAACATTAAAAATCTTCCCAATAACTAGACTAGCATGAATACATATGTATTATGTGTTTAAGTGTTATCATAACTGCAATGAGATTATGACCCTGGTCTTAAAGCTTTGCAATGCAAAATCCTCATCTAGTCGTTATGTTTTAGCAATCATGTGTCCCTCTGGATCTGTATCACTTTCTGTCATCTGTCCTCTCATCTAGTCTGTAAAAAAAAAGAAAAGAAATTGAAGGCAAATCTCTCCTCAGTCTCACGGCTCCAGTGTTTCAGTTTCCATGGAAACACATTAACCCCTAACCTTGGCATGTTAGGTGGCTATGAATGTGAGTGCTAAGTGACTGCTCCTCCCACACCATGCCCGCTTTTTTTCCGTTCTCAACACCATTCAAATACACTTTTACACTCTGTGTTTGCTTTCTTGTCTCCGCCAACAGATTGTTGGGAACCATATCACTAATCGACTGGCCCTAAATGTAAAATCTTGAATATTATCTCACAAGTTCAGCTGACCTTTGACATCCCAGATATTGCAGTTGCTTCTCAACAGGCTGTCCTTCAGGTACCCAGATTTTACATCGGACATAATGTACATCTAATCCGAACATGTAGATGAGAAAACAAAAAAATCAAAAGCACTGAAAAAATTCTATTCTAATTATGCATTGTTGCTTGCATAGTTCACCAAAAAAAATAAAAAAATAAATTTGCTAAAACTATTGTTACTCTCAGGGCATCCAAGATGTAGATGAGTTTGTTTTCTTACTGGAAAAGAGAAATGTAGCATCACAAACAGCTGATAAAAACACATTAATCCACAAGTATTCCACACAACTTCAATCCATCAATTAATGTCTCATGAAGCAAAAAAAGCTGCATGTTTGTAATAAATCCATCAAGACATTATTAACTTTAAACAAGCCATATATACGTAATATTGCTTTCTTCTGCGAAAAAGTTGTCTTTTTTGAATCAGGAGAGAAAGCGCGAAAATTGACAGTTTAAATGTATTAATTATGGCTTTGTTTCTTATAAACACGCAGCTTTTTGCTTCACAAAACATTAATTGATGGACTTGAGTCTTGTGGATTATTGAGATGTTTTTATAAACTGTTTGGACTCATTCTGACGGCACCCATTCACTGCAGAGGATCCACTGGTGAGCAAGTGATATAATGCTAAAATTCTCCAAATCTGTTCAGACAAAGAAACAAACTCATCAGGCTGGCCTCAGCGTGAGTCAATTTTCATTTTTGCGTGACTTATTTCTTTAACAATTAGAACAGACCTGTGACCCACCAGTTGGAGACCCCTGCTCTATTGTGTATGTACAAATACTGTTTCCCTCAATTAAAACACCTTTGCTGACAGACTGAAGAATTTCCTCATTTTAATCTTACTTTGATCATTATTGTGAGGAATCACATGCTGTTTAGATGGCTGTGAAGGCCCAGCTGGTCCAGGTTACTTCGGCCTCACGTCCTCTTCCTGCTGTGAGCAGCTTTCTCATACTGTCCTGTTATATTATGTAAGCAGAGCTTTATTCAAAAGAATCAAGGATTGAGTTTCACTGTAAACAACCAGCAACTTAATATAAATGAGGAGTTGTATCCATAGCCATTCCCTCCCCGGCTCACTTTAAATCCCATGGGGGAATTAGTAGAAAATCCAGTGTTTTTGTTTTTTAACCTACAGTCTCTCTTTTTCTCTTTCTCCTCCACCCACGTCTTCTGCCTTGTTCTTCTAATTAACCTTGCTCTGCAGAGGCTTCATGTAAAGGGCAGCTGTTACTTGTTGAGATCCTGATAGTATCCAACTTGGCACATTCACACCAAGAACGACAACTGTATTGGCATCCACACCAATGCATATAATGCCTATTATAAACTGCAGTCTGCTTTAAGTGCTTGAGTTCTTTAAAGTCAAATGGATTTTGATAATCTAATTAATGTGTTTATCGTTCATCAGCTGGAAGAATCACCCTGAAAGTGATTCCAATGGTTTTGTTCCTGTGTTGTTATTATTATAGTACTGATGTTTTTACAGTACTGCTGTTATGGCCAACAAAAGCCAAAATAGGAGGCAACCCATGAGTAACAATCGGTAGGCCTGTATTGTGTAACGTGTAGTGTAGCCGTATAGTGTATTATTACAACATTATATTTATTGGTGTGAATGGGCCTTAACTGTAGGCTGCATTATCAAATTTAATACACAGCTACTTACTAATTAAATAAAATACACCAACTTTAAGTAGTAATGTGTTGAAATAGTGCATTACAGCATAAAAAATCTACCTAGCAACACTGCAACAATACTCTATTTATATATTAGGCCTATTAGCCAAGTAATCTGCAATCAAGTTGCTTTCATTTTAGTGAACATTTTTACTACTGTAACAATTACTGTTTTGAAAGTGCCATGGTTATGTATGAAAAGAGAGTGAACGAAGTATCACCAGAATGAACATTAAAATTAGACAGTTCATTTTACAAAATATATCATCACCCACTGCTGTAATTGACCATTCAGAATCAAGTATTCCAATGATGTAATAAGTTCACTAAACCTTGTTACTGTAACCATGTTACTGTCAGCTGAATCTGTCTTTGAGGGTTTTCACAACAGTCCTTGTTCCAACTCAGGAAGGTCAAAAAGTGAGAAAGTCTCTCCCATGCATGTCTGCCTTTCACCTCTCGCTCTACAACAACAAACCCAAGGCTTCATGATGCAGCGATTGAAGTATACTATGCCAAGAGCTCTCAGGGCCACTAATAAGGCTAGTGAAGTATATAAGAGAGCCCCTTGTCCTTTTCCATGGTTTACAAGGATTTCTGCCCAAATTTGCTGCATTTCAAATCTTCAACACATCGTTGAGGGCTTTGTTTTGACGGGTGTAGGCGCAGCAATTTTTCACAATGTCCCAGTGACGGGGTAGTGGGGCTTAAATCTAACCAGTGCTGAGCAGCTTTCTGGGGGGTAGAACGTTTTAGTTTTTTTTCAGGCTGAAAATAAACATGTAGCTGAGTGGATGCTCAGCAGGAGGCCTCTGCCAGACCGAGTCATGTGCAGCTCACTCCTCAGATAGCCTTTGATACTGAAGCTTTTGACAATGAACAGTGATTTATTGTAAGATGTCAGGCAGATAATATGTGTTTAGT